AAAAAAAAAAAAAGGCTCATATTTAAAGGCCCACTGGCCTATAGGAAAAGGTCCTGGTTCAGATATACAAAGACCTTCCTGCTTTAGCTCACACAGAGCCTTTCAGCTCTGCAGACACCTAAACTACTTTACTATTTCACTTCCTTCACCTGCATGTCTTCAGTGTGGCTTGCACCCCTTTTGCAACTGTTACATTTTTAGCACCCTCTTATACCCTTCTTCATTTAATTGGCCAATTTACCAAGCATTTTTTTTTTTTTTTTTTTTTTTGTACCAGGAATGTTATGTTCCAGGCCTGGCATTCTGTCACACTTTATGGTTTTCCCTGCTTGCTGCACCAAGGTAATAAAGGCTCCCTAGCTTCCCAGCTCGGTATAGGTAGCTCCATCATAGCAGTTATTATCTCCATGTCGGTATCACTTATTAGTCCAAGTTGCCCAATAGCACTTTGACTTTTAGGTTTTTTTAGTACTTGAGATTAAATCCAGCGCTCCCACACGGAGCTATCTCCCTCTCCCAAATCTTTGAGACTGGGTCTCGCTAAATCACTAAGTTGCCCAGACTGGGCTCCAGCCCTATCCCGACTTGGACAAGAGCAGCCAGCCTTATTTCTCTTTAGCATACAGCAGAAGGCCTCATATACAGCGGGCCAGGAATAATGTTTCAGTTTCTGTAACTGACCCTTACTGATTTCTAGGATCTGGATTGTGAGGCTAGAAAGAAGCTTTGAGATCCACTGCTTTCTCTTCTTCATTCCCTCTTCCACATACATAAGCTTATTTAAATCTGGTACTTTCTTTTCCCCATCAACTATCTCTGATCCTGGGACTAGAACTGGTCTTTACAAGAAGGGCCCAGCGATGTCTGCCCAGCTCAGAGCACCCGCGGCCTGAGAAACGGTGACGAGTGAACGGATGAAAGCACCCGTCCAGGGAGCTGCTAAACTGAGCGCCGCTGGGCTGACCCAGAGAACTCGCAAACGCTGTCTGGCATGGCTTGTGAGGAACGGCAAGCTCATTCTAGTCCCAAATGGCTCGTTTCTGATAACAAAGTAAGCATCTATATGATTAAAACATGAACACCCTCCTCGCTTCCACTCTCACACGCACCTGCACAAAACCAACCAAATAATCGCACCACCACTTTCTAAGCAAGAGCTAATGATGATTTGGACACTCCCAATTTTTTTCTTTCCCAGAATCAACGGGAACCAGAAACACAAGCTTATTTCAGAGAAACACTGCTTTCTGAAAGTGGACAAAAGGGCTGGCCACTGTCCACTTGGCTCTCCACCCCACTGGGGGAAGGGAACGCCACCTTGCTGTCAAAGGGCATACCTAAGGACACAGTGGCACTCTGAATTCTCTCCAGCTAGCAGGAAGCAAGCACACCCAGTTGTGCTAGAGCGTCAGACCCTACTTCTTCCCGGAGAACTTTGGCTTATCACAAGGATCTCGAAAACCCAGTCAGTACAGAGGCCCGAAGTTAGTCCTGCACAGATTAAGAGCAAAGTACAAATTTCCTTCTTATAAGGCCCTTCGGTTGTCCTACCAAGATCTCAGGCACCCAACAAACCACCCGGCTGAAGGTCAAAGGACAAAAATACCCTTTCGCGGATGGCACACAGGCTTCTTTAACACTCTGTCTTGTGTCCCCTTGTTCTGCATCCACCCTCATTTTACGACTCTGAAGAAATGAGATCTTTGATATTAA